TCTTAAATGTGGAGAGGGTGTCTGTCTCCCGAACCACAAGAGAGGAGCTTGTAAATAAATGGCTTTTTAAAAAAAAGATATGTTTTAAGAATTGATTAAAGATGTCACTGATTCAGCAGTCTTAGACCTTTGGGCAGGGAGTTTCAGAGCAGATGGGCTCTGACTGCAAAAGCATGGTGCAGAAATGCAATTTAACTTCTAAGCAGAAGTACAAAAAGCAACATAGTGCAGTAATGTACACCTGATATATACAATATGAATAGCATTAACAGTATGAACAGAGTGGAATGGATACATGAACATATATACAGTTGGTAATTGCTATAAATATTCAGTGCTACAATGAGCATGAGTAATACTGAAAAGGAAACCACCACCAGTGTGAGACCTGTTCAAACATAAAATAGACAGAGGGGTCTACAGCACTTCACAGACAGGTGTTCAACAACAGACAATGTAGCTATATAAAGGCTAATTTTCTGTAACTAGGGTTAGGGTCGTTCAGCCCGCCATCAGCTCCACCCTACTCCACCTCTTTGCCTATTTTTGGATTAGCCAAGAGCTGCTGACCACACTGAGCTTCACATCGGCTTTTCACAAACCGATGGCAGATGTCGTGCAAAGGTTTGTTTTTAATCACACAGTCTGTCCATGGATCCATGAAAAAGAAGAGACAAACAATAAAAACCGACATCATCACCTGAAACATTTAACTGAAAGCGATCAAAACTACCGACGGTGTTTGGTGTCAGTCACTGGAGGACCTTTACACATTGGTTTGTGTTTTCAGGTCTTGAGGTGGACGGAATCTACAGAGTCAGTGGAAATCTGGCCACCATCCAGAAACTTCGCTTCATCGTTGATCAAGGTCTGTTAAGCTCTGTCTCCGTCTCTGTCATTGTGTACTCGTAGTAAATCCCCCCGATGAAGGGTTATCACTCACAGCTCTGGGTTAAGGTCAATGTGTTTTACCTCCTGTAATACAGATGTTTTCATGTTTGAGCCCAAAATTAGTTTTACAATATTTAATGTTCAGAATATTGTAAATTCAAGTTTTTATAAAAAAGTGAATCCCTATGGACTCATGAACTGCAATGATTTTATATCTCTATGTTGTTGTCCTTGTATTGTTGTCGTCAGTGTGTCTGAAATAATATTAAATGATCCTGTTTTGATCTGTCCCCCCAGAGGAGGACCTAGATCTGGACCACAGTCAGTGGGAGGACATCCACGTTGTCACAGGAGCCCTCAAGATGTTTTTCCGTGAGCTGCCAGAGCCACTGTTCCCCTTCAGGTTCTTCCAGCCATTTGTGGAGGCCATCAGTGAGTCAGACCTGACATAATAAAAGTCTTAATTAGAAATCATTGTCCCTTCCAATTTAAACCCGATGAAATAAGTCTTTATGTGAAAATGTCCTGTTCCTCTTGGTTTTAAGATCTAAAAGTTAAAGACAAAAACATTTTACAGCAAGGGTTTAGGGTTTAAAGGTTGAACAATATACAGTATAACAACTACAATCTTACACAGGTTTATAATGGTTATTCTGTCTGTTTCCCACAAGATGGCAGTGTTGTTATGTGGTAAACAAGAGGTTAACTCCATTAATTAATATCTCACTCATTTTTTTAGCAGTCAGACTAAAGACCAGTTAATTAGGGACAAAAGCAGATTTTTGGGGCAGTGGTGATGGTTAGGGTAAGTCTCCAGGGAATGAATGTGGGTGTAATGTCCCCAAATAAAAATGATGGTTGGGTTCAGTCTCTCCTCTTCCAGCTACAATAATAAAATGTCACTTTCTGATTTTTAAATCTTCTGTTGCTTCATTAGCTTGACCACATAAATATTTAGTTTCTAATTTGACACCAACTGTTGGAGAGAGAGGAAAGCTCAGGAAATTCAAATGTTAATTCAAACTTCCTCATTAATGTAAAATTAAACTACAACCCATTAAACTACGATATGATGCTCATATTGATCCGCTGCTGTCATTTCTCTGAACAGAGATTAAAGAACCCACACACAAAGTTCAGGCTATGAAGAAACTGATCCAGGAGCTGCCCAAACCCAACCAGGACACCATGAAGCTGCTCTTCAGTCACCTACACAGGTACGCCACGATACATCTAAACCACACCTGAAGACTAACTGAGAGAACACAAGCTGGCAGCAGCAGTAAGCATTTACTTTTGCAACAGATAAAGCCATCTGTCTATCAGGAAACTCCTTAAATCACCAAATTATTAAATAGATTAAACAGAGTTGTGTTTTTGTACAGTAGTCACTGAGGCCATGTCCCCAGTAACGAGAGAGAGAGAGAGAGAGAGAGATTGAGAGGGAGAGAGCATTCTTCTTGTCAGAGATCGTACCCAACCAAAGTTATATGAATGACAAAGGGTACCATTCTCCCACTTGTAGCATCTGTGATCTGTGTGAAATTTTTAAGAACCTACATTTAGGTTTGTATCTGTAACCACACTTTATGTCAGGGTAAGCAATAGAAGGCTGATGCCTCACTGAATGTCTAGGGTTAGCATTAGTCCTCACTATCTGTTGCTGATTAAGAACTCAGTGTGGGACAGTGTGGGAGAGTCCATCTATGACTCTAAGTGAACTGGATGTTGCTGTTTAATCCATCTATAGATGCTGAATAAACTTAAAGAAAGTTTAACAAAATTGCCACCACACATCAAAATGATTTTGAATCACAACTTTTAAAAGAAGGCTCAAATGTAAATGACATGGACATAAATGTCACATTGTGAAGTTGTGAAGCCGTGTGCAAAAAGGGGAACCAGCGTTTGTTTTGTCAGAGGAAACGGTTTCAACATTGACAAAACCATGATGAGCTTGTTCTATAATGTTTTTATCAATTTTATCCTTTAATTTGGTGTCATGGTTTGGAAACCTTTCTGTAAAGAACAGAAATGGGTCTGATTCACTGATCAGTGAGCGTCTCTGTACAGCAGACAGTTACAGCTGTTTACTGTCTGCACAGTGAACTTCAGCTTCTTCCTTCTGGATGGAGGTCTATAGTCCCAACATGCAGAACAAAGTGGAATAAAAGCAGCTTCGTTCCAGCAGCAATCATTCAGATTAACAAGTTCTAGTAACATGGCACAAAGTTTTTTTTATCTGCATTTTTTACCTTATTTATTGTACAGGTTATGTGTTGATCTCTTTGTAAGTCCTGATTTTTAGAGCATGGAGCACTTTGATCTTTTTCATGTTTGTCTGTTGTCTGAGTTGTTTTTTTTCTATATATATTTTTGTCAGGAGTGCTATATTGTCTTTTACTGCAAACCAGATCTACCTACAGTACAAATGCAGTGACCCTGACCTTGTTCCTTCTGCTTTTCTTTAGAGTTCTGGCCTTCTCCAGGAAGAACCTGATGTCCACTCAGGGCATAGGCATTGTGTTCGGCCCAACTCTGTTGTGGCCTGAGCTGGATGCAGGAAACATGGCATTCAACATGGTCTACCAGAACCAGATCGTGGAGTTCATCCTCATCGAGAGCCAACAAATCTTCAACCTGGACAGGAAGTGAAGTGTCCTGAGGTGGACCTGATCATCTGACGGACTCATATTTACACATTGAAGCTAAAAATAACCAAATTCCTTTGGAAATGTTGTTATAACAGAAATCACTGCACTGTAAAAATAAACTGATTTCTGATCAGAATAAAGTTTAAGAGAATCCTTTTTTTAATGAACACAAACCAATCATTAATTAATGAATGAGTTCCCTGCCAACCCTAATTTTAAAAGGACATGCGTTTGGTTTGAATGTAGATGAAAAATGTTTCTTTAAAATTTGAAAGAACAATGTACAACATGTACAATGGTATACTGTTGCTATAGCAACAACAGTACCTCATTCAAACTTTTTTGTAATCTGTAATTTTTTCTTGTCTGTAAAATCATTTAATGATATCTGAGTGGATTTGACAATGGCTGCACATTCAGATTCTGTGGCTCTTTCAACCTTCTCCGTTTTTATTTTAATCTGTTTTCGGCTTTATTGCTGAAACACATATAACAGACAGAACCAGTCTACAGTCATCAGAAAAGGACGCGTGGGGTTTTGGATGTTTGAGCAGTGGACTTTGAGGACAATCCATCCAGCCAGATCAGCAGGACCAGCACATCAACAGCAGGTGCCATGCTGGCCCAGCTTGGATTTAAGGCTTTGGACCAAATGGGTCCAAAGGGAACCAGAGACTGTTAGGTCTACGTCTTCACAGAGACCTGCTCCACCAACATCCTGGCTCCTTGACAGGCGGACTCTGTTTCATAAATGTTTCGTAACACACCGCAAGATTCGTTCAGTAGCGTCAACAGTCAATACATTTTTTTATAACGCACAATAAGGAGTTGTTTGTGTGAGTCAACAGTTAATAAATGTTTTATAACACATTTTAAAGATTGTTAATATAAATGTCCTTAAAACTGCTGACTATGTGGATAAATAGCTCATTTTGTGTTTTTTAATTTTGAATAAAGGGGGTGGAGTTAGAGTGTATTTGACCATAAATACAGCAGATAAAATGGCATATTCATCAGCATCCATTTCCTGTTTCCCATTCATACGTTTATGTTCTAGCTTTAAAATGTAATAATAATAATAATAATAATAATAACAACTTTACCTTATATAGCTACCGCTACCTATAGAGCTAAAGTGAGCAGGTTTATATCACAACCCTCATTCAGGATTCAGAGAACACACTGTATGATAGACAACAACTGCACCACAGTTTAATAATACTTAAAGCCCACAGACAGACAAACACTGTGGCTCAACAAAGACTCATAATGTTCATAATGCTTTCAGATAAATCCACTACAACAGCTGAAAATGACACACAGCAGCAGGTCAACACTGGTAGAAATATTACACAGATAGAAACACTTTGAGCTGATGAACACTGTTCCAACAAGTAAAAAAAAAATCCATAAATGAATCTATAAAACACCTCTGAAATACACATAAATTATTTAAAAAACAGTCAGTGTGATAAAACATTCAGTCCAGGAAAATAAAAAAAATCATGAAACGTTAGGAATAAAAATCTTTTATTATTATACCTCCTAAAGATTATTCCGTAAGTATGATATAATATTGTATCTCAAGTCAAAATCATTAAATCCTAAATAGATCCATAATTTTACAAGAAAATTGTATTATACTATGAGGTTGTGTTGTGTCGCTCGTTACAACCCGTTCACTCACTGCTCATAAACAGGGATGAATACAGAAAGATACAGAAAATTATTGTGGCAGTACTGATTCCCCAAATTTCAACTTAAGGAGATAGAGCCTGAGAATCGGTTGCCAATCCCATAATATTAAAAATTTTCAAAAAACACATTGACCATGTCTCAGAGTGTGAGCTCTTCAAGAATGGGCGTCGTCACACCCCAATTGGCCAAGAGGGGAACCACTAAGCTGCTCTCCATCATTGTTGAGGAGTCAGTCCCCCACACCCCCCCCCATGCAACAGGTGATCTAAGTGATCCTCTAATCATCCCAGAAGGTTTCCAATTGATCCTAAATTTAATGAGGAAAAGGAAAACCAAATAGCAGCACACATGAATGAATGAATGAGCAACTGCTACATACGGAAGCTTCAAAGAAAAAGTCACAATATTTGTCCCAAAATCAAATTTTTCTTGTAAAATAATGACTTTATCCCATAATGTTACCAATCGTTTTTATTTTAATTCAACTTTCTTTGAATTCTGACTTAAGGACATAATTCAATTATTCAGTTGTTCATGATCATTTTTATTTTATCTCTCATGTTCATTTAATTATTTTCCTGGACGATGAACTGTGCAAATCAATGTAAAATATATAATTGTATCAGTTTAAAGTGTCGATGACTAAAAAACTGATAACACTAACCCTAACCCACTGTAAACATTCATCAGAACACAGAAAGAGTTTCACCATGATGTTGACTGTGTCTCATACAGGAGTCATTCTATAGATTTTACTGATATATAAATACTGTGGAGGAAATATTATTATAATAATATACTGTATAATGTAGGCCTATATACGAGCACAAAACTCTAATTTCATCTTGATAAAGGACTGTACAAAAATTACGACATATCCAAATTATTAAAACCAAATGATGACTTATTAATAAGAATTATGAGATATTGCATCATAATTATGAGGCAAATGTTAAATAAAATTCAGCCCATTAAAAGTTAAATAAATATTGACTGTGCCGTTTTTTTTGGCCTGAGAGCTGAAATGCTGACTCAGTATCTCATCATTTAGATTTCCCCACAGTATTACTTATTAGTATCATTCCTAAATTTTTATAAATTTTGAACATTTTGGTTTTCCTTAACAACATGAGGACAGAGACACAACATAAGTCTACATTAGTCCATTATCATACGACTCCTGAGGCCTGTACTACAACGGTGGTTCACTTCTCACCGAGGTACATCGCCATGGTAACTTATGCTGAACGGCTAACCTGCTCTGGAGCAGGTTATGTTCGAGATAACGGTCAGACACAGAAACAACTATTTAAAAAATAAAATACCCTGTGCAGAATCTGGATTGAATTTCACGCTGTGGCAACAGACAGGAAGTCAATCAGTCAGAGGAGCTATAAAGAGGAGAAACGCACCGTAGGACAAAATACACAAGACACTGTGAAGACACTGTGAAGATGCTGTGAAGACGCCCTGCCTTGAAAGGTTCTTGGTGGGATTTGAGGACACGTGGATCACGGAGCTAAACCAACATCAAAAAGCAGTGGATCTTAAGTTATCAAAGAAACAA